CGTATTCGCGTAAGGGGTAGCCGTCTCACTTGTATAAGACTGCTAGCACAGGAGAGATATCTAAAAGGCAGCACTGAGTTGTTAACACCTAAACAAAGACGGGTGGTACAAGAGTAAGCACTAACACAGAAGATGTTACTTCAAAAGATAGACCTGATTGTCTACCTGCAACACCTTGAATAACAGAAAACAAACCTAAGGTATAAGCTGGCACCTATTTGCCAAGCCTTACTACCTTATACTGAAGAAAGCGCCTGATTGCACTTTCTACCTGGGCACACACAGACGAGACTCTTGCTCTCAAAGTTGCTTGTATTTTGGGGGTGGATTAGGGGTCCTTATATAGCTTTTGGAAGCCCCATCCTTTGGTCTACTTTGGCCTATTCTAGAGTATTCTATATTATTCTACACTATTCTTCCATATTCCTGCAGCTTCATGGAATCTTCTAAAAATACACAGTTGCCCCAATAATTTGCCCTGCTACCTGTAACAGCTGCCCCAACAAATCTGACACATGTTTGGCCTATATATAAAACACGTAACAAGTTTATTGCATGTTTCTAGTAGTCCCCAGATGTATCAGCCTGCTGTCATATGTTCCAAGACACTGTTGCCATGCATGAGAATAGCTGACACATAGAAACTGATCTGGTATGTATCATATTCTGTGTCAAACCATTTTGATGCACGATATCCGGGGGTCGCTTGAAGTTCTAACTGTCCCCAGTTATCACCATTCTAATCTTCCTCATCATGGACTTCAGAGTCTTCTTCTGACTCTGAGAGACTGGATGAAATACTGCCTTGCTCCAAAGCCATTCGTCGTGTAAGAATACGAGGAGGGTTGCTTGCTTCCTCACTGTCTGTTTCTGAGGAGTCTGAGCTGCTGCTGTCTTCATTGCTGGTAGGCTGTATTCTGCCCAGAATCTGATCAAGGTATTTATCAGATCGGGAAATATAAGGGATTAACCTAAAAGCTGCCACTGCTTGACGCCAGGGTGTTCCATCTAACTCTTGCAGAACGTATGCTCCGTTCCTAGTCTGACGCACCACTTCATAGGGTCCCATGTACCTGTCCTTGGTCTTCCTATCCAGCGAGGCTTCCACATGGCTGTTGCGTACAAGCACTAGTGTTCCAGGGGTGTAGCTGTCCCTAAACATCCTGGTCCTGTATCTTTGCTCAAACTGGTCCTTGGATCTGAAGCGGTGTTTCTGTAGCACTTCGGAGGCCTTGGCTAAATCCTCAGGCTTCTTTTCCAGCTGCCTGATGCGTAGGGTAAGAAGCTCTTCAGAAGACATGCCACTTTTAAAGCCATCTACCATGAACGAAGCTTCTGCAAGGTCAAAAGGGAGAACAGGATATATGCCATGGAGAAGGTAGAAGGGAGAGAAGCCAGTCTGTCTTCTCACTGTAATCTTGTCTGCAAAAAAGGCTTGTTGTACATATCCAGGCCAGCGACGGATTTTTCCATCACATAGCTTGACTAGGCTTTCACGAATAATAAAGTGTCCTCGTTCAACCACTCCATTGGCTTTAGAGTTATAGGCTGAAATCTTGACATGAGGTACACCGTATCGTGTGACCAGTTCCTTGAATGCTCCTTCTACCTCACTTCCATTGTCTGTAGTGACCTGCCCAATTGCACCATAGCGACAAAAGATTTCTTCCCACAAAAACTTGGCGACTGCACTAGAGGTAGCCTTTCTAAGTGCTCGCCCTTCTGCTGCCCCTGACAGATCATCTCTAGCTGCTACAATGTATCTGTAACCCTGGACGGTTGGCATATACATTATATCTAGATAGATTTTGACAAAGATAGTGGCAGGGGTAGAGACCATGAGAGGGACTTGAACCTTGCGTACACTTCTAACTTGGCATTGAAAGCATGAACGTACATGATGGCGTACGTCGTTCCATAGGCTTGGCCAATAGAAGCGTTCCTTCAGGGTAGCCATGACTGCTTGCTCACCACGATGTCCACTTTGTTCATGAGCTGCATAAAGCAGGGCATCTCGCTTGTGCTGGCGAAAGATACACTTGGTGGGTCCCTTTGGTCCATTACGCTTGAACATCACCTTGTCTTTGATGAAGAACTTCATAGCCTTCTTGATGAAGCGCTCGCG